TTTTACTATAATAAGCAGGCACAGCAACTAAGCAAAGATGTTCTTGGCACATCTATGCTGATTTCTAGCATGTCCCTGGGCTCTTGTCAGCCCTTCAAAATAGGCCAGGTCAGGAAACAGCAAGGATTTCAGGAATGCTACTGTGCTGTGGGGGGGATGCAGTGGCTCAGTGGCAAAGACACTAAGCTCGTCGACCAGAAAGGTTGGCAGTTCAGCAGTTTGAATCCCTAGTGCCATATAATGGAGTGAGTTCCCATTACTTGTCCCAGCTTCTGCCAACCTAGCAATTCAAAAGCATGTAAAGATCCAAGTAGAAAAATAGGGACCCCTTTGGTGGGAAGGTAACAGCGTCCTGTGCACCTTCGGCATTTAGTCATGCCGGCCACATGACCACGGAGATGTCTTGGGACAGTGCTGGCTCTTTGGCTTTGTAATAGAGATGAGCACTGCCCCCTAGAGCCGGAAACAACTAGCACATATATTCAAGGGGAACCTTTACTGTGTTGTGCTACGGTAGAATAAAAGAATCTTGAAACCTGAGAAATGATCCTTCTGCCCCTTTTATACCAAACATTGTCAAGGTGGGGTTGGTTTTTTTATTTCTCAGATTGTTCATTTTTCCTTTCCCAGGACTGAGCTATCTTTGTCTTAATCCTTGCATTTCTTTTTCAAGATTATCTGCACGCCACTCAATAGTTCCAGCTCATAGAACAAGAGAAATTAAGGATGCTGTATAGCAAGGGTGCCCAACCTTCTTGGGCCATATATAAAATATATAACATAATATCACTTTTAAAAATCACTAAAAAGCATATAATAATGTTAAAAGTTGTGGGGCCACATTATTGGCTATCTAGGCCTGTAGGCCATGGGTTGGACAAGCCTGCTGTATAGGATTTGGTCTTCTCCAAAAGATTTGACTTTCAGCTATTGCTGCTTTTTACCATTGATTTGCTCAATTAGTAGCTGGTTAACTTACTCAGCTTCAGAAACATATATATATGAGTAATATTTAAATCATCAGAAAGTTAAAAAAAAGGCTGCAATAATTCAGGAATTTTTAAATAATACTTTAATAATAATAATTATTTTTGCAAAAGCTAAAATTAACATTTAGTAGTGGCTCTTTTGTACATTTTGGTTACATGTAGTCCTGGAAGGAGAAAATAGCATAGCCTTGTCAATTTCACCATTTTTAAAAACAGTGGTCAGTCCATCCGTCTACCCTTCCTTCCATCAGAACATTTGGAGGAAAACAAAACCTGCCTACTCATTGTTCCACTGGTGAGTTTGTAAAAATATTTTGGTCCTGGAGAACAGCAATCAATGTCAAGGTAAAGAAGGCCTACCTTTCCTTCAGTCTTTCCCAGCATTAGAGCCTTCTCAACACAACTAGGTCTTCACCAGAGGTGGTATTCAGCAGGTTCTGACCAGTTCTGGAGAACCGGTAGCAGAAATTTTGAGTAGTTCAGAGAATCGGCAAATAACAGAGAATAATATGGCTTGTAGTATTTTGTAGGTATATATGTAGGTATTATATTGTAGGCATATTCTTTTCCAAAGCCTTCAGGACACCATACCAAGTGCTAGTCTGCATTTTAATTCTAGAATGTTAGTTTACTGCTGATGGTTGATCCCAAAAGGCAGAAGCTATTCACCAATATTTTCCTTGCTTGTGTCTTGAATAATTTTCTCTATCTTCCTGGGGTTAAATCAGGGATATATCAGAGTTAAATTGGGTTTATATCAGGTTATATCAAGTTATGCCAGAGATGTAGCCACTCTTTGTAGCTTGATAAGAGAGGTGCTGGTTGTTTGAGTGGTCCAGAATGTTAGGTATTCAGAATGTTGTTCCTTGATGCTCACTGAATGTTGTTTGCTTGCTGATGTTTGGTTACCCAACTACTACAAGTAACATCATCAGTGCTATCCTAGCACTGATGATGCTACTTTGTTGGGTAATGAAATGTCTGGGAGTTTGAATTTCTGCTGACTCTTTTTCCCTTTTTTAATTTTTCGGATATTCCCCTTTTTATTGAATTTCTTAAATCTCCTATATTTATTTCTGACTCTTTTCCTCTTTCTTTCCAGAGTTCTTTATTCTGGATGATCACTAAAAATGGCCTCTTCTATAATTTGCTCCGCCTCCTCTTGTACCTTTTGTCTTTGTTGTTCGTATTATGCAATTGAATTTTCAAAAAAAATTAAAGCAAAACACAGTGATTTGTAATGCCAGAGGAGATATTGCCATTTTGCAACTTTCTAATTAGCAATTTAATCCAAATAGTGTCTTGAAAGTTTATTTCCAACAGTCTATTTTTATTTTCTTTCTCTCAAATTTTAAGCTTCCACTAATCCAATGCCAAGTTCATATCAGAATCAACAATTAATCCAGGGGCAGAATCTTCCTGTTTCTTTCTTTGTTACAACGTTCAATTTTTCAAAGTTCTTGCTTTATTGTATTAACTTTCCATACAGTTTTTTAAGAGACAGAGTCTTTTAAAAGAAAAACAAGTTAAGTTTGACTTAGATGGCACTCCTTATCATGCTAATTCTTCACCCTCTCTTTTCTTTTTCCTTCTCTATTATTCAGAGCTTTTTAAACCACAGTTTTCAAAAAAGAAAAGATCAAATCCAATCAATATTAGGTTTCTTCTTTAACAATCTATAGTTCAGCTTTATAGTGCCTATATGGAATTAAAATATACTTATCCAAATTGATTGTATGATTCCTTCTAACCTTCCACCTTTTATGGTTCAAAGTCCTGCCGCTGTCAAAAGCAATTCACACCTTTTTCTCTCTTTCTCTTCATTGCTTTAAATCCTTTTTTAGAAATTCTTTGAAATGTTAATTCTGGGGGGTATCTTCCATTTAATTATATCATCCTGTTTCTCCTGCTACTTGCTTCTTTCTCTCTCTCCTGCACAATCTTATTCCAGTCTAATCTTCCCCTTCAGGGTGGCCATTTTAGAACACCACTTCAGGTGTCTTCGGGAGGAAGTAATTACCAAGCTGGGGAGGGGATTTGTGACTCCCCTCTACCCAGCAGACAGTGTCCCCTTCCTCCACCACCCCATGAGGTGGCTTCTGCCCCAAATCCAAAGATCAGGGCTCTCCGATGCTGAAGCATGGACCAAAGCCATGCATGATCGTGGTCAGCAGTCCGTCTTTGGGGAAGCTCAAAACTGGAAGTCGACAAAGACTTTCTTGAGTAGTGCTACCCCATCCAGAACTAAAAATGTTAAAGTCCAAGATCAGGAAAAACATACAGATGTAATTTTCTTTGTTTTGATTTAATGCAGATTAAATGCAAATTGTTCAATCAATTTAAAAATACAGTACATTGTGGTTTCATTTTTCTTTAATTTTTACTTAGACTTTGGATAACTTATATGAAATTTCAGCTCTTTTCTCAACTGCTCAAAATGCTAACAACATTCAATATAATTTTTCACAGAGAAATGTTAAGTATGGCTTTAAAATGAAGGAAGTTACATTTATATCATTTTTATTTTAGCAATATTATCTTGTTTAGCATTCTGCTAACAGCATCCTTTACCTCCCTGTTCTACAGACTGTAGATGAGTGGATTAAATGAGGAGATGACAAGAGTATAAAAGACGGATACAATTTTGTCTTTATTCAATGACAAATTGGAACCGGGCCATGTATACGTGAAGATGATGGTTCCAAAGAAAGTGGTTATAGAGGTGAGGTAGGAGGCACAGGTGGAGAAGGCTTTATATCTTCCCTGGGCTTTGGGTATAAGGGGCTTCAGGATCTGGGACTTTAACATCTTTAATTCTGGATGGGGTTGCACTATACTTGCTCCTTCCAATATGCATCTTGCTCCTTCCCTTCCCTTCCCTTCATGGCAATGTTAAACCAATTTTTGTACAAATATTTATTGTTTTAATGTTTGGATATTATTTTGTTTTTAAGATTGTCAGTTGCTTAGAATCACCTTTAGAATCACTATGGAGGATTGCTTCTAAGTAAACATGAAAACAGCTCCTGATGTGATCCTCTATTATTAGTTGAAATTGCATTTTATGTAAAGATATTCTTGGAATCAGAGAAACACATGGAATAACTATGAAACCTAAATAGATCTAAATAGATTAAATAGATTATTTTCACCTGTATTATTCTTCCTTGCAGCTCACATCTTCCCTTCTTGAAGATTAAAAAAAAAGTTTCAGAAGGATAATTTTGAGGTAAAGAAAATGGAGTGAGGATGGAGAACAGAGAGAAAGAAGAACCATTCTCTTTCTGCCTGCCTTTAGGAGGGCCTTAATTTGAAAAAAAGCTTCCAAGTCGATTTTTAAGATTACCACATATTGCTAGTGGCCATCTATTGTGTTTTTAATTGGCAACCGTTTTTGCTTTTTTCATCAAATTTTTAATTCAAAGAACCTTTAAAAATAACATTCTTTCTTGTAATTAATGTTATTTTGTGTACTATTTTCCTTTTTTCATTACAAGGTATTTTGAAGGAATGTTGCTAAAATTGATTGAAGTACTTAAAATGTGGGTGATTAAACAAAACTGAACATACACATTGCACTTTACCATTAACTGACATAGACATTTTATCAGTTCCATCCACTTCAGTGCCAATAAAATAATAAGAAATTTTCCATCTGAATTACCTGGAAATATACATTGCATCTAAACTTTGATTTATAATCAAATCACTGACATTGACATACTCTTCTTTAGCTTCATGTTTCTGTCAATACTGTACATCTTTTTCCACAAGAAAAGCACTCAAACATTCAAGTATTTGTTTTGATTAATAAAAAGAAATTATCCTTCTTTTAAGTCAGCATGAAAATGCATTGTCCTTTCCTTTTAGCCTTGGTATGACTTGGTCATGGTATGAAACTTCTTTTCTCACCTCCTTAAATTGTTACCAAGCATTCAATAGGATGTTTCTAAGAGAAATGCAAGTATGACTTTCTTTTTTGAAATGAAGGAAGTCACATTTATACCATTTTTATTTCAACAGTGTTATCTTGTCTAGCATTCTGCTAACAGCATCCTTTGCTTCCCTGTTCCTCAGACTGTAGATGAGTGGATTAAATGAAGGGATGACAATAGTATAAAAGACAGATATGATTTTGTCTTTATCCAATGAGAAATTGGAGCCAGGTCGTATATACATGAAGATTATGGTTCCAAAGAAAATGGTCACAGTGGTGAGATGGGAGGCACAGGTGGAGAAGGCTTTATATCTTCCCTGGGTAGAGCTGATCTTCAGGACGGCAATAACAATGGCAATGTAGGAGATCAAAACGGTCAGAAAAGTTGTCAGTGCAATTGCAGTGGATATAACAAAATGCAGAAAGTGAGCAATGTGTGTATCTGAACAGGACAATTGGAGCATTGTCGGAACATCACAGAAGAAATGATTAATTGTATTTGAGCTGCAGAAATTCAAAGTAAAAATAATTATAGTCTGGACTATTGAACTTGCAGAGCCACAAGTATAGGCAGCTATGACTAAGAGGGTACAAAGCTTCTTTGACATGATAACAAAATACAACAATGGGTTGCAGATTGCTGTGAAGCGATCAAATGCCATCACGGCCAGAAGGCAACCTTCAGCGGTTACAAAGACAGCAAAAAAGAAGAATTGTGTGGTGCATTCTGTGAAGGAAATGGTTGAATGTTCTATCAAAAATGTTGTCAACAATTTTGGGGCAATGGTAGTAGAAAGGCTAATATCTATAACGGAGAGATTTCTAAGAAAAAAGTACATGGGGGTGTGAAGCCTAGGATCAATTCTGGTTAGAATGATTATCCCAATGTTTCCCACCAGAGTGATGAGATAGATGAGCAGAAAGAAGATGAAGAGGGGAATCTGAAGCTCTGGGTGGTCCATGAATCCAACAAGGATGAACTCAGTTACAGTGGTTTGATTTGTCTGCATTGTTTATTCCTCTCTGATAGAATAAAAAGAGAGGGAAAACCTTATAGCAGTATGAGTACTGTTGGTTTGTTTGAGAATGCCCAAGGGAGGAGACTCTGAAAAACCCAACCTGAAAAGGAGCTGTTTGCATGGAAAGCAGAATTACTTATTTTTGTATATATGGGCTTCTTGGATTGTGGGCTCTTGATAAATATGCTCTTTTCAAAGTACATTGTTGCATTCGAGACTGTGCACACTATTACATAGATGTGAAATGTTGGTTAACAAACAATAGTTTCATACCTATTATCATCTCTCTGCATATTGTAGGAAGCATTTCTCTGTGGGGATGAATGTGGACTTCTTACTAAAATGTATTTTCTATTGCATTCCAGTACTCTCAAAGAAAGTCAGAATGATCAGTCACTGTGTGGATTTATAATTCTCTCCCAGAGCACTTCTGCAGGAAAAGTTCTGTGTAAAAATCATTGTCATCTATTGGCTCCTATGCACCAACATCCATTCCACCTGCATCTGAAATTAATTTCAATTTGTAAACTATAAACCTTACATTTATAATTCATTATAAAACATTTCCAAGTGGCTGATTAATGTACATTATAGCCTTGTCCTGCAGTACAGTCCCATCTAGTATTTCTTTTTAGAAATACTTTGTAGAAAAATGCCATGGATTTATTGGACTTTAACATGGATATGTTTACTCTGGTATATTATAAATAACATACATCGATTAAGGAAATACTGTAAGCAACTCTTTGCTTCAATGCACAACCTATAGGATGAACCACTAAAGCCCCCACTGATAAGCTAGAAGAAAGAAGGAACCATCACAAAGTTCATTATTCACGCACTACAAAAGATTTAATTCACAAAAAGTATAAAAGGTATAAAGATGAATTGGTTTTCATATGCACAAATACATTCAAGGTATGATGAAGATTTCAAAACAGAAGGATTGTATGATAAATTGACTGATTTCGATAAGATTTTGACAGGTACTGATGAAAAGGTGATTAAAAAATTATATGGTTATTTATTGGAAATTAAGCTAGAGGAAGAACAAGTTAAAGAAACTATGATTGCTTGGGGGAAGAATTTTGGATATGGGATCGATTTAGAGAAATGGCAAAAATTGTGGTCTCAAAATTATAAAATGACAATGTCAACGCATATAAAGAAAATTTGTATAAGATGTTTTACAGGTGGCACTCTCCCCCGATAAGAATAGCAAGAATGTTCAAGAACAAATCTGAAAAATGCTGGAAATGTCATCAGATACCTGGCCCGTATTACCATATGTGGTGGACTTGTGAGGATGCTAGAAAATACTGGATTAAAATCCGCATATGGTTGGAAAAAATGACAAAGAAATACATAGACTTGAAACCAGAGATCTTTTTATTGGGAATCTTACCTGATACATATAGTAAAGACTTGAAATACCTGATTGTAAATGTATTAACAGCGGCTAAGATTGTATTTGCTAAAAATTGGAAAAATGAGAAAATACCATCGCAGGAAGAAATTATTAAGAAAATATTGGAATGTGCTGAAATGAGTAGATTGACATTTGAAATTAGAGAACAAGAGGATAAACAATTTTATAAAATTTGGGACCTTTTCTACCAATGGTTAGATAATAAAATACAATAATAGAATATCTAGAATTCTAGGAAATAATGACTATATAAAGATATATTTCTTTTTCTTTTTGATATCATATCTATAATAATGTTTTTAGGATAGATTTGGTATGATTAAGTAAATTATAGTTATCTCGCAAAGTGTGAATGAATAAAATTATAGTCAAATGATTGTTTAATAGTGATACCAGAGTATTTAATTTCTGATTGATAATATGAGTTATTATGTAATGTAACTGTAATTGAGACTACAAAATGGATGCACAAAAAACTGGTAAACCAACCGACACACTGCTTGTATATTTATGAAAGAAAGCTGGATGTTTTTATGTTTTGTTTGTTTTGTTTGTCTTTAAAAACCAATAAAATTGTTTTTCAAAAAAAAAAGTATCTTGAAGAAGCTTTTGGAGTTTGGGTGACAAGAGAATTATAAGTAAAACACAGAACAATATTTTTATATCAAACCAGTTGAGTATTCCTACTTCTGTCTGAAAAAAAATACGATGAAGAGGAGAAGGAAGAAGAGAAAGATAAAAGCATTTAACAGATTATTCAACTAACTAGAAGTGCTCAATTAAAGAACTTACCAGATTTGGAATAAAGATTCCATTTCAAAAGATGAAAGATGGACTGTTTGGATAGAATTTCTCATTTTATACTTTGTTTACTATTAGTTAAGAACCAATTTATTAAAATCTCAATGCAATATTTTGGCAAAATACACTTGAGGACCTACTGGGAATTCATATTTCCACTGTATAGCCTTTATGCATAATTAGTTCAAACTTTTATTGGAATTCACTAAGAAAACTCATTATGCAGTATGAACACTTTTATTTGAAGTATTAAGTTGCCATTTCAGGGACCTTAAGATGAAAGTACAGGGCATTATAGAAACATGTTTTTAAAGAAGCATTATACTTAGTAGTGCATCTCTAATGCAATGTAATAATAAAACAACAATGTTGTTTTTGACAATCCTTTTCTATGCAAATATAACAGAATCCAATAACTTCAAAATATTATTTTTTGTTTTATAAGTGATCATTTGAAGTTGATTGACATCTTTGCTATAGAAGTTAATACCGTCTTCCATCTAGGCAATACAAGAATCTCTAATTCTTTATTCCCCTCATTTCTTAACATCTGCATCAGTGCTGGGATTCAATTTTTTTTTCTAATGGTTCTGTTGGCATGGCTTGGTGGGCGTGGCAGGGGAAGGATACTGTAAAATCTCTAGTCAGAGGTGGTACTTGCCGGTTCTCCAAACTACTCAACATTTCCACTACCAGTTCTCCAGACCTGGTCAGAACCCGCTGAATACCACCTCTGATCTGCATATCAAATGGATTTATTGGGAACTCATATTTGCAGACTTAATAGTATAAGTTTTAGTTTTAAAGAAATTAATCAGTTGTTTTAATATCTCAGGTGTGTCAGAAGCTGAAAAAGCTGCTTGGCAATGTTGTTGGCCGACGCCGTTTGACAGCCGGCTATAAAAGGAGCTGTCAAACGGCAACAGCTGTTGCCGCCAGCTGACTGCCAGTTAGCCTCGGCAGCCGTGGCGACCCTTTATTCGCTAGAATAAAGCCTGTTAACTTTGAGCCTGTGTCTGTCTCTATCTTTACCGCCGCTCCACAACAATTGCCATCTGATAGATATCTCTGATAATCTCTTAATACCGAGTATATTAGAAATTCATCATCTATCAGTTGGTCTAAATGATAGATGATGAGAGAGTATTTACACCAAGACAAATTCCTTGTGTGTCCAATCACACCTGGCCAATAAAGTATTCTATTTTATTCTATTCTATTCTATTCTATTCTATTCTATTCTATTCTATTCTA